ACAATAGAAAGACATAATGGGGAGGAAGATGTGATGAAAATTAACGTGGCTACCAGTTCAAGAGTTAATTTAAGGATGGACGAAGAGTGATGTAAATGAATTAGTCCATACAGAGAGGCGAGATACAATAGTCAAATGTTGGGAATGCAAAGAGGACCAAGTAAGATGGGGTTTGAATTCTCACTGTAGAGTGAATATGAATTTAAATTGTTATAATTGTAGGAGACAAGGCCATATGGTGAGAGATTGTTGGGAAACTAAATGTTTCAAATATGGAAATATGGTCATGTAGCCGCGTACTGACCCGGAAAGCAAAAATTGCGGTGTGCGGGATGTGGACGATTTGGTCACAATAAAGAGGAGTGCAATTTGATCAATTATAACACAAAGGAGATTTGCGGCAGAGAGTAATGAGTCAGAATGCTCCGAATGTGCGAACTATTGAGAGCGAGAAAATGGAAGGATTGTTGGACCTATTTTGAAGTAAACATGGAATGTTTTAGATGTCGAAAAGAAGGGTATGTGGCAAGTCAGTGTAAAAATTGGTAACTTTATGAAAGCGAAGAATTTTCAAAAGGTCGAGGCGTGGCAGTATAAAAAAAATTGATATAAATATGATACAAGATGACATTGTGCATGACCCTTGTCCGAGAGTAATAATAAACTTTAATGGGAGTATGGAACCAATGTTATTTGACACGGGAGTGGCTATTTCGGTAATTGGATATGATAAGCGTCGGAGTATTTCGCCATATGAGATAATCGAAAATGAAGGATTGAGAATACTGCTATTCGATGCGGTAATGGGGAGAGTTGAAATGGAAGCAATAGTGTGAGAAAGAATGGAGATATTAGATTTGTGGATTATTAATCGGAGGGTTGAAGCGATGATGGGAGGGGAGACTGAAGCATTCGAATAGGTCCATGGTATAGTTTTGGGGAGTATTTGCATTGTGGGACCTGTTAATAACTAAAACTAGACGGGATGTGTATGGGAACATAGCGGAGGAATACATAGAAACATTACCAGAAATTGAGGCAGTGTTTAATAGTAATAGGGAGGGAAGAGAGTGAGGAAGTATCGTAGAGCTGATAAAGGAAGATGCGAGTGAGAGGAGGGAGAGGAGTATTCTTAGGAGATAAGAAAATAACGGAGTTAAATATAGTGGAGAAATAGAAGGGAGGGGGGATAACTCTAGTAAAGAAATAGGGCGAATATTTCTAAGGGAGAAATTGAGAAGAATTTTAGGGGAGTAATTGGGGGGACTCATTGGGGAGTTTTCGGGGCAAATAATTCTAAGAGAGAAATCCGGGCTAATAATTCTAGGAGGGAAATCGGGGAATAACTCTGGTAGAAAAATAGGGGCGAATAATTTTGGGGGAGAAATGGGGGAGAGTTATAGAGAATATGATAGAGATCATTAAATCCAACAGAGTTGCAAGAGAATAGACGGTGGAGACCGAGAAAATGGAACGAAGTGTGGATAAAAAACGCGTATTCGAGGAGGTGAGATGGGAATGAAGGAAAAGGATAGGCGTAACGAAATGGAATTGCGGAATAAAAAGATGGAATTAGGAATGATCAAAGTGCAAGAAAGAGTGCGTAAATAAGTGGAGGAATATCAAGAGATTTTTAATGAAGGCTTGGGGTGTCTAAGAGAATATGAAATGGATATTAAAATGAAGGAGGGGGGAGCTTTGTGCCAAAATTTTGTGGATTGCGACAAGGACCGTTCAAATGTTGAAAAGAAATGGAAATAGAATGGGATCAATGGGCAAAGAAGGGAATTGTGTGTCCTGTGAAATATAGCAAGTGGACAATACCGCTGGTGGCGGTAAAGAAGGCCAACAGAAAACTCCATTTGTGCTCAGATTTCTGGATCATCTTAAATCTCTGGGTTGTGGAAATGTAATATCCCTTGCTTCGAAATGAAGAGATATTAGTCAGTTTAAAGGGTGGTGTGTATTTTCAAAGGTTGTATATGAATTAAAGCCAATTATCTTCAACTTGAATCTCACTATCTGTACTTCTGTCATGCTCTATAGTGTTAAATTTTAAATTAAAAATTGTAGAGTTCAAATTTAAATATTCAGAAGAAATTTTAAGATTTAAAAATCTTGGATTAAGGCATCGCTTATACCGAATTTTCAAAATATTTTAAATAAATTTTTATCAATAAAAATATCAAATAAATAATTATTATATAAAATAAATTACTTGCAGTTCAGTAAGTGGAACCACTATGCTGAAGCTTTTTTGTATATATTCTTTTAGACAAATTATATCTGATCTTTCAGATTTGTTGATTATCGTTGTTTCTAATTTACTGAGAAATAATAAACGTAAATTAATTGTTGATCCCTTTTGGGAAGAAATTTTACACGATTCTCCAAATGGATTTAGTAAAGCAAATAGTTCGTCAACTGGATCCCATTCGTTATTGAAATGTTTTAAAGATTATTGTTATTTCACAATTGTACATAGGGTGGTTGTATTAAATAGAATATATGAATGAATGATAATAAGTATATTTATTAATTTAAATATTCAAATTTATAAAATAAGGAATTAAGATAATATAAAAATTTACACGCCACGCTGCTGGCGATAAAAAAATTGACGGCATAGTTTATCTCAATCGGGGGCTTTTTCGTGAAAAAACTAGCCGGGAACCTCAGTGTGAGTCAACGGCACACAGGTATAGTTACAATATAGCATGAATTAATACAATTAATTAAACTGGTTAAAAACCGATACTGCCCTAAAATATTTATATTCATTCAATCTTTCAGCTGTACAAGGTTCAGCAAGATTTTCTTATAATTTTGGAACTCTTCTTTTTTTAATTCACATCCTTTATTTAGCTATATTCCGCTTCCGTTTTAACCCTTAAAAATAATTTCGCATTCTTTTAAGTGAAACTTAATTTTTTTTTATGGATTGCAAATTTTTTAAAATAGCGTTGCTATTTTCCAGTCCCTCATATTGAAACATCAAAATATATTTTTATTTATAAAATATATGAAATTAGCCGGGGTGGCCTAATGGGTTAGATGTATGCTTGGAAACACAAGGACGAAGAAGGACGCAGGTTCAATCCTGGTAAGGAGCATAAAAACATTCAAGTTTTTCTTCGATGACTGATGTGTAAAGACATATGGTATTCGGAGCTTAGAGATGACACCCCGTTCATCGACAGGCATGACAGCCGGGTGCAAAGGATACCTGTCCAATAAACAAAATGAAGGAAACAAATGTAAATATGAATATGAAAGCTAGGGCGTTCCCTCCAAGAGACGCGCGGGGTGTAGACCTCCATCCTGTGAAAAGTAAAGTAAAGGTAAAGAAGACAAGATTAGCAAGTTTGAATATTGGGACGCTTAAAGGTAAGACAGGAGAGTTGGCATCAATGTTGAACAAGAGAAAAGTTGATATAACGTTCATACAAGATATGAAATGGAAAGGTCAGAAGACTTTAATGATGGAGATGGGTATAAATTGTACTATAATGGAATTGTTAGCAATAGGGACGGTGTCGGCATCATCCTCAGCCAAGATCTAACCTCCTCAGTAGTAGAAGTCAACAGGATCTCTGATAGACTAATGAAGATAAAACTCTGCATTGGTCAATCAATACTACACATCCTTTCAGTATATGCTCCTCAAACGGGTTGCAAGAAAGAAGAGAAAGATGACTTTAGAGCTATCCTTGATGAAGCTGTAATGGAAATCTCTATCCCTAAGGATGACCTAGTCATAATTGGTGGTGACTTAAATGCGCATGTGGGGAAAGCAAGAGATAGCTAGAAAAGGCATCATGGTGGTTTTGGATATGGAGAAAGAAATGATGAAGGAAGGAGAGCCCGTATGAAATTTGTGCAAGCCTTCGACCTTGCCTTAACCAACACCTACTATAGGAAAAAAGACAGTCATTTAATAGCATACGAAAGTGGTACAAGGAAAACACAGATAGATTACATGCTAATCTCTCGCAGAAGATTAAAAGATGTAATAGACTACAAAGTCATCCCAGGAGAAGATATCGCCACACAACACAAGCCTAGTCATGGATTTACACATCTCAAATAAATCCACTCAAATCAAGATAAAACTGGAACCATGCATCAAATGGGGCAAATTAAAAACAATGACAGATGCCTTTGCAATCAATGCAAAAATTGAAACAATAGATTCCTCACAAGTCAGTGAATCCAGATTAATAGACATTGCCAAATCGACACTAGGCTTGATAATTCATACAAAGAACTATGGTGGTGGAATGAAGAGGTACAAACCACTATAAAGGAGAAAAAAGGCCTATATAAAATATGGATCAAATCCAAATACTCAGATGACAAGACAAATTACAAAAAATCCAAGAGAATAGCTACAAAGGCGGTGGCTAGGGCCAAATTTATGTCATACGATGACATGTATGAAGAACTACATACTAAAGAAGGGCAAAATAAAATATACAGATTAGCCAAACAGCGAGAAAAGAATTCTTAGGGATATAAACGGAGCTTCGAAAATAATCAAAAATAAAGATGGAAAATTGATAATAAAGGAAAAAGAAATAATGAATAGATGATAAGAATATTTTCAGGAGCTTCTCGACTTTAATCCCCACATACTACATCTAGACGAACACTCCACGTTTTAAAATTTGTACAACCTATAACAGAACAAAAAAAAATCACATGCCTCAAGTATGAAAAACAACAAAGCTAGAGGTCCAATAGAAAGCCTTAAAGCACTAGGAGATGATGGAATACATCTCCTCACAAATCTGTACAATAAAATACTTGAAAATGAAGAGGTTCCCCAAATATAGAGGCATAGCTATCTAGTTCCTATCTTCAAAAATAAAGGGGATCCACACAATTGTCAAAATTACAGGGGCATAAAACTAATGTCACACTGTCTAAAACTATACGAAAAAATAATAGAAAAAAGATTAAGAGACATAATCGAAATAGGAGAGACTCTGTTTGGCTTTATGCCTGGAAGATCAACAAATGATGCTATCCACGCAATTAGGCAAATTAGTGAAAACAGTGAAAATAACAAAAAGCTACATATGGTCTTTCTCAATCTAGAAAAGGCCTTCGATAGAATCCTAAGAAAACTTTACTGGTGGGCGCTACGCGACAAAAAGGTTCCCGATATAAGAATAATACAGGTTACGTATATGGGTCATACAACAATGGTCCGTAGCACAACAGGTACTTCAGCAGGCTTCACAATAGCCGAAGAAGTTTATCATAGGTCGGTTCTCAGCCAACTTCTCTTCATTACAGTAATAAATGTATTAGCACAGTCTATACCTCAATTAGTTCAGTGGAATATGATATTTGCAGATGATATTGTGATACTTGCCGAATCCTAGGATGAAATGAAAGAAAGGTTAGTGAGTTGGATAAATATCCTAGAAAAGCACGGACTAAAAGTAAATAGAGAAAAGACGGAGTATATGGTGATAGGAGGAGATGAAACAGAGAGTATTGATATAAATGAATGGCAGATATCGGCAATTGAAAGCTGCAAATATTTGGGCTCCACTATACAAAACGGCACAATAGAAAAAGAGATAAAGAGTAAAATTAATTAAGGGTGGTTAAAGTGGAGATCTTTATCTGGAGTGCTATTTGACAAAAGAATCCCACAAAAATTAAAGGGGAAAATTTACAGTTCCATAGTACAGCCAACTATTCTATATAGTTTGGAAACATGGCCAACCAAGGAATCAGACGAGAGAAGTCTACAAACTATGGAGATGAGAATGCTGAGGATGATTGCTGGGGTAACAAGAAAGGATAAAGTGCGCAGTACAAGAATACTAAGTAGTTTAAAGGTAGTGCCCATTAAGACTAAGTTAATGGTAAACAGACTTAGGTAGTATGGGCACACAATGAGAAGGTCTATGAACTACATAGGAAATAAGGTTGAGAGTTAAGTGATGGGTAAACGTAAAAGTGGAAGGCCAAAACTTCAATGGGGCCATAAAGTTAGAGCCAATATAAAGAAGTATAAATTAGATAAAAGAGATTGTATGAATAACATAAAGTGGAGAGAGATGTTGAAGGAGCTTACCACCAGAAAAGGTAAAAGCTAAAGAGAAAAAAAAATAGATGAAATTAATTATTTTTATTAAGTATCTATGAATAATATACAAAAATTTTTTTAAATATATTATTCGAAAATATGAGTAATATATTTTCGAACATAAGTGGATTCATAATTGTTTGTTGTGGCGATAACACAAATTTTAGCCCTTAAAAGACCCTTTCAACAGAAACTCGTGTAGAGGGAACCGCAAGTACTATAAGATTAAGTTTATATAATTCAGAATTTTCAAACTTTTTTGATCAATATATAAAAACTGATGATTAGATTAATTGACTGAATCAAAAATTGGTTATTTAAATATTTCGCATACTAAAATATAGAAAATAGGAATATGTCTCTAATGTTATAAGAAATAAATACAAAAAAATTATGAGATCAAAGCAGACAAATATTGTAAAATTATGATATTAATAAATTAATTAATCTAACTCCCCAAAAAGCATCACGGGTACGTAAACGCCTAAAAATTTCCAAGATTTTTTAGTTGATAGCAAACTAGAATTCGATTGTGAAAAAGACTATCATCAATTTATAAAGACACATCATATGGATATTATTGGTTTAAGAATTTACATTCCCTCACACCTAAAAAATAATATTAAAAACAGATTTGAACAAACTTGCATTTCAAGACCACAAAATCTATTATTAATAATAAAGGCTATACTACTAATGCTATAAAATTTACTCAAGTGCCAAAATCTATAAATAATATATAAAATTAAAACCTTATAAATTTGGTCATTTTAAATTATATGGGAAGATCCTTCTATCAAACTAGGGAAATGGTTATATTATACTTAAATTAAGTAAATAAATGCAACTAAAGAGAATGATCTAATACTATATGAAGCAGTTATTTGAATTAATTTAAGTCATAGTTAAAAATTAACATACTTCTTATGGATATTAAAAAAAATTTGATCATTTAATAATTATAAATAACGACACAGATATTGTAAAATATGAAATACACCAAAAGGAAAAGAATGTAAAATTATTTATTTTATTTTGGTTGAAACCAGTTTAAATTTTTTTTTATAAAGGTTCTTTTTACTCCTTCAAAAATTAATTATATCGGTTCAGTTAAGGTTCAGACATTTATAAAGGTTTATAATGGTTTAACGATCGTTACTTCACTCCGGGTCCCTGAAATAAATAAAGTAGAATTTTTAACACGGGAGAGTTAAAATGTATTACCCTAGCCTCTGTTCCATTATGCCAATAAATATTTATAAAAATATAATTAAATTACAACTTTAATTAATTATTACTTAAGGTTGTAAATTTAAATTAATAAAAAGAGATTTTATAGGAGCCAAAAACAATAGATGTTGTGAGTTTTTAAAAAATAAAAAACTACGGGTTATAAAAGGATACCTAAAATATAAGGGTTATATAAAGAATGAGGTGGGAGATATGCCCTAATACTAGTATACAATATTAACATGTTTTAAAAGTGATAATGGGGTATGGGATCTTGTTTTAAAACGCGTTTTATTTTTTTTTTAAAATTTATTATTATTTACTTTCAAAGTTATTTTTTCTTGGGCTTATAAAGTAGATATATCCAAATTGGTATCAATCGATAGCAATAAAAAGATCTATCCAGTTGGAGGCCAACTTCTTACTCCTAATAGGTAAGTGAAGGCGGCCAGGTTTTTTCAACACAAAATATTGATATGGGTATCAAATAAAAAATATTTAAAATATTCTTTGACTAAATAATACTATTCACTCTTGGTCTTAATAGGTGGGACTTGGTATGAGGGCTATAATGTAAATTTGATATGGGTATCAAATAAAAATAATTTTGATTGTGGGTCAGGAATTTCTCTCTTTATAACAAATTTTCAATATAGGTATAAAATAAAAATTAAAAATATCATTTATTTTCACATTTGGTCTGGGAATAGGGGGAGGGGGGGGGTTAGAGTTCAAAACATAAAAATTAAGTTCTAGGTAATAATATTTTGATTTTAAGTCTAATTATCACACTAAGTGAGCGGTTCTTGACCTTGGGGGGGGGGGTCTGGAATTTAAAATAAATATGAAATAAATACTCATATTGGTATTAAATGAAAGCTAATTAAAAAAATCATCTTAAATATGTTAATATTTTATGGATATTCCAAGGCAACAAAAAATAAAATTTATCTCGGGGTCAACAATTAAATTATTATGATTCTAGGAAAATCTTAGATATAATATGTCATAATTCTTATACTCAAGCGAGCATCATAATTTGAGACATAATTAGTTTGTGATGAAGATCAGAAATGTGAAGCGATAAAATATTTTGTAACGAATAGAAAATTTTCCCAGGACCATGAGCTCATCTAGCGATTATCTAAACATTAATAGCAATAATAATTGTCATTATTAGCCTCTTTCATAATTAAAAAGAATTACATTTTGTCAGGTTAAAATGTATTTATAAAATTTAATTATTATATTTTAATGCTAATTAACTTAAAAATTAGAAAGAATATAACTGTACTATCATGCTAAACTGGCAGATAAAAATGATAACAAAAGATTTTTTTTAAACTAAATTGCTTGATGAATAAACAAGCTTTATTTCTGCTCAAATTAAATTCAAATTTTATGATATAATATTTTGATAGCTAGCAGAATTTAATTATTGTAATATTATATATAATATAATTAATTATAATATTTGTGATATTTAATAAATTCTTCCATTGTATAATAATATTATAATTTTTGTAATATCGAATAAATTCTTCCATTATACAATTTTGCACGCGTAAAATTACATTTATTTTATTAAATTATTCTTGGGAGAAGTTAATAATCCATTAAATGAATATAATATTTAATTATATTCTAATTAAATTAAGATAATTTAATTAACTATGTCAAAATTTTCTGGTAAGACAATTTTATAAATAAATATTCCATTATTAAAAAAATAATATATATATTGAACAGTTATGAAGAAGTTTGAGTATATGATATATTACATTATATTACTAATTCTATTGCTCCTAATATAATTAAAGGTCTTATCTTTAAAAGCCAGTTTGAAATTTTCCCTATAACATTTATTGAAGATGATATTCACATAAAATGTAACAACAACGTACATGGATTCTAACAAATATAGGCTATACCAAACATTAATATCTATTCCTTTTACTGATTGCAAATTTAATATGTACAACATGTTATCTATAGATATGGGTAGAAGTAAAATCAAAAATTCTATAAGTAATATAAAGAGAAGTTTAAAATTTTTGCGTGTTTCTAATTTTTTACGAATTGCCTTTTCTTCCAACACCCTATTAGTAGATAGAATGGCATGATCACTACAAGTATCACCATGAATAATATTTCCTTGTGAACTAGAATATACCTGTGATAGGTGTGGATTATTGTTATTATCATTGTGTTTTACTGAATGATTTAATATATTAGATTCACTACTAGCTATGGCTTGATTGTGGATTAGTTGAGAGGCTAAGAACAAGTTTAATTCATTTATATTTCTTTTATTTTTATCGTGATTAATAAATTCTGGCTCTTTTGTTACGTTCCAAAGAAACAAATGCTTGGTACGCTCAATAACAATTAGCTTAAGTATAACTGTTATCCCAAAAGGTAAGTATTTTGTAAAAATTTCCCTGCTTACGAAAATCCAACGTATTTTAGGCCATTTTTGTATTTTAGAAAATAAATATATTTCAATCAATCCTAGCCTGTCCTGACCAATGGACCCAGTATCATGCGATATAATTAGAGAAGTAAAAGGTATCGACCATAAAGTGCAATAAAGTATCACCATCAGCAAAGCCCATTTAGCGCAAATTGGAGAACACATTTTTTTATAAAAAAAGGGGTAAGATATAGCTATCATATGATACATGCAAAATAAGAAAGATACGAGAAAACTGCTTAATCTTAAGATTTTGGACAGTGGTAAATGTATTTGGAATAAGTATATACTCCAAGCGTAATTTCTATTGGCATAATTTTGCTTAGAAATCAGAAAATCAATTAATGGCCAGGGAATCATCAAAATGCAATTAACTAAATTTATTCCGAATAGATATTTCATTAATATTCCGTTGATTGAGTTATGTGGCTCGAAAATAGGATGGGAGGCTACAACATAGCCTAAGCTGTTTCCGATTAATCCAAAAATAAAAATTAAAACATTCGCATAATGGAAGATAATATTTCCTCTGAGTTTAAGATATAATATGTTTTCCAAATTTACAATTTGATTAAATTGTG